CTGTGCGAGTTTGAGTTCAACATTGGCAATACCCAACAACATCAACAACAAGCTCGGTGAGGTGAGCATATAGCGTATCTTCGATACCAAACCCTCACGCATTTTCAATAAGGGCTACTATATAAGGGTTGCTAGAAGGCTTCTAGGGTTCAGGATTTAGGGTTTTTCAATAAGAGCTACTATTCGGGTTGCCAGAAGGCTTCACGGTTTACTAGGGTTTAGGATTTAGGGTTTTCAATAAGGGCTACTATAAGGGTTGCTAGAAGGCTTTAGGGTTTACTAGGGTTTAGGATTTCAGGTTGGGGGTTCTTAAGGGTTCGTGGGCTTAAGGGTGATGGCAGCTTCGAGTTGAGAACTCGGGCTCTTTATCTTCGAAGGAGGAGGCAGTCGAGGAGGACGTTGAAGACGCGGACGTGGAGAAGGACGGGCCTGCCGATGCGGAAGTGGCCTCGGAGGAAGTGGTTACTTGCATGAAACAGTCACTGAAGAGTGTTGGTGTCCTTCCCTATCTGTACGTGCGAATTCTTTCTGTGATGATATGCTGGGCACGAGGGAACAGCTTGAGTCAACAAGCATCTGATCATTTTGCAACGTTTGGGCGAGCTCATACAGCCGGCAGCCTAAATGATTCCTCGTCTCTTGCCAGACTCAAAAGCCGAAGATCATGCAGACAAGGTAGTATAAGGGGCTTAATAATTAGAATAGGGTTTGGGGGGTATATTATGTGATATCTACCCCTATATCCAAATACAGCACAAGCCAAAAGCACTTGTGGCTGGATGGAGTGCACACGCCAGATCAAACGTCCATCCTGAAAGAACTACTCTGCCCGCTTTTAGTCTTTTCGAGGTCCGCTTCCATGGCGCGCCGAGGAAGGGGTGGGACCGCTACTTTCGAGGAATGCACTGCAACGCAAGGATCCCGCTCCGTTACAAGTTATCGGTTTAGTCGTGTTCATGAAGATGAATGATCATTCAGGTTGTATATGATAGGTTTACAGGGGTTCTGTACGGGGAACAAGGCTTCTTTAAAGTCTTAAATTAGGTGTTCATAGTTTCTGTGTTTGGGCACGAAGTTTAGGGTTTAGGGTTTAAGGTGCTGAGCTTCTGTAGGCTCGGACATTCAGGCGATTGCACAAGTCCTGATGCAAAAAGGGTTCAGGGCTTAGGGTTTAGGGTGCTGAGCTTCAGAGCGTAGGCGGGATCGCTGACACCCAGAGCCGAGCGTTTAGAGTCCTGCTTTGGCTAGCAGCCAGGACCGAGGCATTTAGGGTTTAGGCTTTAGGGTTTAGGGTTTAGGGTTTAGGGATGCAGCTGGGTCGGATCTAGGTGTGCTGGCTGGATATGCAGAAGCAGAAGTTCTCGGAATTCGTGCCTCTCCGGTTGTATGCTGTTTCTGCTGCTGCCCGTGCCATTTCAGTACTCTGTGACCCGATACATCCTCAATGTTCTGCTTTGGAATTTTGGCCTCAGAGCAGCTTCCAAATCCCCAAGAGGTTCTTTAAGGATACCATGAAGGGTGCCATGCGCATGCTATACCAGGGATACTTCGGCCGCCTCTGCCCAGAATACTTCTTACCACCAAGGGGAGGTCGGATTTCACACTGTGTTCACGGAGCCCTCGAGGCCTTGTTAGACCTAGGCTTCGAACCCTACACCCGAAACCCCAAACCCGAAACTTCAGAACCCTAAAGCACCAAGCCCTCACCCTAAACCCGACCTGAAGCCCCACGCAACCTAGCTCTTGCTCCAGGGTTCCACACTCTTGACTTCCTTGTATAAGTCATTAAACGGACAAGTTGTTTTTGGTTTAATATGCGGATTTTTAACTTCAAGCCCTAGAACCTAAACCGCAAATGCGACTTTGTCAGCTGGGCGGGTGGGAAAAAAACCGGAAATGGACCTGTTCTTTCGCGCAGCTGGGAGGAATGTCATCACTTGGAAGGGCACGGCGCTCGGAGGGTTAGGGTTTGCAGTTTAGGGTGCCCTAATCCCTAAACCCCTAAACCCAGACGAATCGACAGTATAGGGTCCCGAATAGTTTGAATAGGGTGTTGGGGTATCTGAGAGCATATTAGGTAAATTTCATGAATATCGAGGAACTCTAAGAACAGTGTTGTGAAGCATTCAGGCTTCTGTATGTCAACGTCAGCCACCCACGAGTATGTAGCTGGCCTTTTGCGGGTAAGGACTTGGGATTTAGGGGTTATCTGGGCTGGGGGTTGCGACTTAGGGTTCACAGTGGTTTCCTGATACATAGGGGTTTAAAGTTCGATTGACAAGTTTTCCACATGTTCTTGAATGTGCCGGGTGGGTTGGGCCGCATGCTGTTTTTCCATGAAGTCTAAAGCGCAAGGCTAAATACCCTTCCCCCTAAGCAGACAGAGTCCGAGAGGTGATTGAGCGCAGATTCTGCGAATGCTGAAAGGCAACACGACACGGTCTTCAGCATCTGAGTAGACTGACAGCAGCCCCACACCCACGAAGTACATGATGGACCTGAAGCGCGAAATCCCCGTTGGAGACTTCGCATTCTGAGAGGCCTCAGCCCTCTTAATCCTTTCGAAACCTAAAGCCACAGTTCCTAAACCCCAAAGCCATGAAACCTCCTGATTTTCGCAAGCGTGGGCCCCCAATCCACGGTATGCGCGAGGTCGGGGAACCTTGCCGGAGCCCCCGAAGACAGGGCCGAGGTTGGGTTTAGGGTTCAGGGTTTAGGGTTGAGGATCCCATTATTTACTATTTGCCATTCTCGCGATCTTCGCAATCGTCTAATTTTGTTTGGCGTTCCGAGTAGTGATACGCAGCACCTCTGAAGCAACCTCTGGCGACGTTAGAAATAGGTTCCTAATTGCTTGTTGCCCACTGTGTCGGGTAGAAGTGTGGACAAAGATGCAGCTTTGCGTGGGACTGCTGTTGTCAATCCTCACGCTGGCAGCTATAGCAATCACTGTAGTGACCATAACAATACTAGTAACTACAATCATAACTAGAATAACAACCATAGCACCAAGAATTGTGAATAATGCCACCTTATAATATAGTTCAGGCTCAGGATTTAGGTTTAGTATAGTTCAGGCTCAGGATTTAGGTTTAGGCTGCCGTATTCAGGCAAAACCCTAAACCCTAAACCCTAAAACATGAGGTTTGGGTTTTAGGAAGCTTTGCAACTCCGGGAGGCTTGTCAAGGCTCTGCGAGCCTGTCCTGAATTTTGTTGGCTGTGACTTTTTTAACCTAGTTAAGCCCCTGAACCCTACAAAACTCCCCCTTTTCCGGGTTCACTATTATGGTTTTCTTATATGAGTCCTAAGAACAGGTACTGTAGGTCATTTGGGGTCCACGTGAGCCCGCAGCCCCGATATGCCGCAATTAACCCTAAGCCCTTACCATGATTCGGTCGCCGATGCTGTTGAAACAAACGCTTCGTTTCGTAGTGGTGACTTCAAGTCTAAGCCACAGCCAAGGCCAGCAAAAGCCACTTGCTGTTGGGCCATTGTCGTGCATTTTGTTATCGGTGTCGTTATTGTTGTTTTTACTATGTGTGGTTCTTGCTGCTGTTGATAGTTCTCATTACGTTTGTCACGGCGAGCTGCGACGACGACGACGACGACGACGACTACTACTACTACTGTTTCTGTTACTAGTGCTGTAGAAATTACCATGACTATGTCTGTTTCTAATACTGCTACTACTATTACATTTGCTAATAGCTGTTGGTATTGCTACTATTAGTTAGTGTAGTTGATTGGTCGTAGTCTTATCTTGCGTATTGTCATTACTGCTAATGTTGTCCCGTCATTCTATTTATCGGTTTGTTATTCTATCTTGTATTCACATCCCCAAACCCCACACCAAACAAAAGCGATGGGTATGTTTCCCGTCACATCACCAGGCTCGTGCCAGTTGCGACTGCTGATATGGATGGAGTCAGGGGGCTGTTGTTCTCATCCTAGCGGTCACAACAGCTTTCGCCCAACAAAGCCACATGGCCCCAATGGCCTCCAAGTAAATTCTCGATGTTGTACATTCTCAGTTCGACATGATAGAACACATAGAACACACATGTAGAATTATATAGATGTATGTGTATATGATATAGTGCTATATACTCCACATTCGAGCACATGTACGCTACATACACTTGTATATATATATATATATATGGAGAGAGAGATGTATCTGTGTTTTGTATGTGCGCAGATAGATAGATAGATAGATAGATAGATAGATAGATCGATAAACAGATCGATAGATAGATCGATAGATCCATAGATAGACCGATGGATGAATGGATGGATGGATGGATGGATGGATAGACAGACACAGAGAGAGAGAGAAACAACAAAAAAAGATAGATAGATATTGATCGCACACCCTAATCCCAAAATCCGAAGCCGCTACGACAAGCTGTTCCGGCTGCTGGCTGCTGCCCACCAGTGACGAGGCAGCTGTTGCAGCCCGAAGCTCAGTGGCTTGCAAGGCCTGTGGTTTAGCATAGGGTCCAAGGGTCTAGGAGTTTAGGGCCTAAGGTTCAACATGGTGGCCTTAATCAATTTGAACAGGCTTTTGGGGGCATATTGATACAGTATAGCTTAGAATAGCCATCCAGGGACGATAAAGGAATATCAGTGGAACTCATTCCGATCCCTACTGTAGGTTAATATAGAGGTCACGAAGAGTTAGTAACAGTTTCCCCGTATAGTCCGTTGCAACATTTACGGTGATATATGCTATTGAGGCCCCCTGTACTATAACCCGGCCTTAAACCCTCAACCCGAAATGAGAGCCTTGCCAGCAGAGAGGTCGCTCAACAGCAAGACGCTTTGCGGAACATGGGCTGGCGAATTGTGACCTCGGAGGTGGAGGCGTGGGATTTAGGGTTTAGCGTTCAGCTTTACCCACCCTTCCAAAAAGGGTCATTATTTTGTGGGGATGGGTTTAGTTTCTAGGGGTTCGGGTTTTGTTTTCAGGAGTTCGCAGCATTTAGGCGGAAGAAATCGGGTGGTTCCTGGGACACTAACCATCAGGGCAATCCACTCTCACCATCAAGAAGCATAATCGCCATCACTTTAAAAAGGACCTTCCAATCCCATTAACACCCGTCTAAGTCTTTCCGAGAGCAGCCTCAACCACGCAATCCAGGTTCTACGAGACCTTGGCAACAAAGTGCGTCTGCAGGACTTTGCTAAGGCCATCGGGAAAGTTCTGGTGTTCCTGAGCCGTTTTGGGCCTGTGAGCCCGCAGGCCGCAGAAACATTGGAACCCCAAGGCGGTAAACCCTAAACCCAAACCGCTAAACCCTAAACCCTCTAAACCCTAAACTCTCATCCCTCTAAACCCTCAGCCCGAAACAAAAGCCACAGAACCCAAAGGCTAGCCCTGAGACGTGAGGTCCCGAAGTCTCGAAACAGAGTGGGCTCGGTAGTCCGAGTATATAGCATTTAGTATATTTTAGGATACGGCCGGATATCACAGTATAGTATATCACACCATGGTATATCGCATTAAAGTATAGCACGTTTTAGTATGTCATAAATTATATCTTGTTATAAATGTATTACATCATAGTGTAGAAGTGCGGGGGTCTTTCTTGAATTCGTGGCCGTGTAGCACAAAATTTGCTTTACCCCAGAACTCCAGGATATCGTTTCAACTGCACTACGAATATGATGTTTGGGTATATTCTAGTACGTAATTCTAGTATGAAGATACCTATGAACCCTAAGGAAGAGTATTGGTAATGATTCAGTTTGGGCGTCGGGCTTTAGGATAATCGTGTTGACCAGGTGTGGTAGTTTTGGTCCTAAGTTTCCATGCAGAAATATAGGGGCCTAACTAATATTTTGGGGAATCCTTGTTATAATTAAGATATAATATACCCCCCCCCCAAACCATCTTCTAATTATTACGGCCCCTACATTATGTTGTAGCAGGGTCCCCTATATTATGAAACTTGGATTCAGTTGGTCGTATCCCATCGTATCGCCATCGTCCCACGGCCGGCACACTTGAATGCTTATGCTGTGTTTCTGCATGGTTGGTTTCTGCAGACATGGCTCCATTCCTTGTAGGCATAAGTGATCGAATAACAAGCCAAACCTCAGGGCCATTGACCCGCATGGAAAGCCCACAAACCGTGAACCCTAAGCCCTGAACCCTGAACCCACAAGGCGTGAACCCCAAAGCCTACAACACTCCTGTGGTCATCGCACTCAGCGTGTAGGACACGTACCGGCTCGTCAAGAAGCTAACTCTAAACCCTCAACCTCCGCAGGCTTGAAACGTATATAGCCGCAGAAACCACGCCTAGTCCCGAAACATCCCTAAGCCCTCATCGGTCCTAACACTAAGATGTGAAGATGCAGAGGCATATGGACTCTCGGGCTACTTGTGGGAAGCTCAGCGCCTACTAACTTATGAGGTCTGAATCATTGCTAGTTCTGTGGAGGCGAAGGGTTCCGGGAATTTGCTTGTACAGCTTTGTGAAAGAAGGCCCCTAAACCCTAAACCCTAAACCCTAAACCCTAGGGCTCCTGAGAGGAATCTTCTAGGCTTGGGGATGCCAGCAGCAGACAGCTCCGAAAGGGCCGAAGGTCCTCTGAACAGGTGTGGGGTTCAGGACTTATAGCAGAAGCCAGAAAGTTGGAACATGAGTTTAGGGTTTAGGGTTTAGGGTTTAGGGTTTAGGGCATTGGCCGGGCGAGCTCCAATCAAGCCTGTGTAAAAAGGGTTTAGGGCATGCTCTTAAGGTAAAGTATAAGAGATTCTAGCACGAATCCTTGTTCCAGCTTTTCGGCTTCTACTGTAGGGTTTGCGGCTTCGGGTTGGGGGATGTCCATGGAACCTGCAAGCTTGGAAGATCGCAAAAGCTGAGATGCCTCACCAGCCACGAACACTTTCGCCGGATCTGATAACATCTCGGTGTTGACGTGCACTCTTGATGGAATCTATGCTTAAGGCATATGCTTTAAGGCAGAGTTTCACGGCGCATGCTGTACAACCGTAACTTTCGAAAATCGTACCAAATTGCGGCGAAAGCCTTGAACATCCTCAACCCTTACACCCTGCGTAATTAAGCCCAAATCCCTATCGCGCTATAACCCAGCCTGCCAAAAGAAGCGAGGACGAGCCATATACAGGGGCCAGGGTTTAGGGAGGGTCAGGGTTTACGGACTAGGGTTGAGGGTTTCGGGTTTTAGGGTTTTAGGGCTCGGACATTCAGGCGATTGCACAAGTCCTGATGCAAAAAGGGTTTTAGGGCTTAGGGTTTCAGGGTTTCAGGGTTTTGGGTTTCAGGTTTCAGGGTTTCAGAGCTTTACGGTCCTCGAGAGTTCGGCTTAATAGAATCTGGCAAAACCTGAGCTCGGCTCAGCATGGATTAAACTGGAAAAGCTTAGAAGGTTTGGGTCAAGGCTTGCCAGTGTGATCTCAGGTTAGTTAGGCTTTTCGGGTGTCAAGAAAATCTCCAAGAGTATAACAAAGGCCCAACTCAAAGCCTGAGGCGATGTACTATCGGGGCCTAAATAGCTACCAATACTATTTTGGGGGGTTCCTTTTCCTAATGTTTCAAGCCATTAAACCCTAAACCCTTTAAGGCACCCGTTACAGGAGCCCCAAAACCCTATTCTATTTTTCAGGGCCCTATATTACGAGCCCTCTAAAAAAAGAAGCTTTTTCTGTGAAACACCGCAGGCCAAGACGCTTCGACTCCCCTGCGAGCGCCAGCTACCCCTGCATTCTCAAGCAGGCCACGTTTCAGACCCTGGGGTTTTATGGTGTAGATTCAGGTTCAGAGTTATTTTGAAGCCTAGATAATTACCCATATTATTCCTTAGGGTTCCTTATTAGTAGTAGAGTATAACAGGCCCCAAAACCTTATTCTAATTATTGAGGCCCCTATATTAAGAGGATTCAAGGATGTCCGAGAAGCCTCAAAGGCTTCGGGGATGTGGGTTCAGAGCCTTTAGTCTAGGACATTTTCAGGTGGGCAGTTACCGTTATAGGAGCCTTATAGAAGGTCTATATACCTTAATTATCCAGCGAGCGAATACTATACTATATAGTTGCTATACTCAAACCGATCACCTAAGCCCGAAACCCAAGCCTTGCTCTTGGCATTTGAGACTCTGAGTCCTGAGCACCTTCATAGGCCCTGGCCTGCAGTCTTAGGGTTTAGGGTTTAGGAAGTTGCACATGTACGCAATCCGTCCCCGAAACAATGCCAAGCCCTGTATCGTCTAGGACTTTGGGCTTGCGATGTACTGGGTCTTACTTCAGGGTTAAGGTGCGTAGGGTTTGAGCCGCAAATGTCAAATTCCTGGATTCATGGTTCTCGTGCACAGGTGGTAACACTGTCTTGAGAGTTGTTCTGGGTGAGGTCAATTTGCATGTCTTGAACATCTGGGTCTTAGTCTTAGCCTACGTCGCCGACACTGAGTGTCTGTGCACGCAATGGTGCGCCACAGTTCGTGGAATTTGTTTGGGAATGCACATCTGAGGAAGTGTTTCAACATCAACGCATACACAATCACACCGACTATCGGTGATCCCTTAGAGCACCCGTTTTCAAGTGATTTGTCCAGATACACCGATACCGATCTGCAAGGATAGGAGCAGCACATCTGTGTAGATATACCGGAATCCGGCCACATCCTCGGAAGAAAGTACCGGCAACGGTTCGACTTGTTTGTGCTACAGCGCACTTCCGCATGAAAGCTTGCATATGATGCGTGCAGCACATTTGCAAAAGTACATACAGATGTCAACTTACGCACGCACACACGCACTACGTAGGTGTATTTGTATTTACATGTACACACATATATGTTTATGCAAACATGTGTCCATACATGCATGCAGCATACTTACTTGATTTTACATGCATTTTCAAAAAAGATGAACAGTTACATAGACAAATGCAACACGCCCACACGCGCATAAACAGACACATGTATGTACACATATATATATATATATGTGTGTGTGTGTATATATATATATATGTATATATATAATGTTTATGCACACGCTTATTTTAGATGTGTACGTTTTTCATGTGTGTAGATGTGTATGCATATTCATATTCGCATAAGATGTATCTGTGTATCTATCTTTCCATCTATCTATCTGTCTACCTATCCATCATCTATCTGTGTATCTACCTACATGTGCATGCACATATGTAAATGTATATACAGGTATATGCTCATACATGCATGCAGGCAGACGGACAGACAGGCAAAGCCCAGGACACGACTGCCGACCACACGCAGACATTGTCCCTCATGCATATGTGTGAAGAAAGAAGCTAATGGATTACGACGGTATGATCAGATTGATCAGTGAGACAGGAACAGATGTTCGGAGGTTACATGGAACGGAAACACGATCTCTAAATCAGGCCTTCGGCGAGTTTGGCAAGGAGCCTTCTACAGATTTGCAACCGCATTTTATGCTCTGTTTTCAGATGTGAGGGTTACTGTTGTTTTCGATTTGTGGGATTCAAGTCAAGGAACGTGTGTTTTTTTGGGTGGAGGGGGGGTTGGATTACAGTCTATGGACTTCAGCAATGGTTGTGATCCTTTCACAGTCCCGGCCAACTGTGATCATCGCATGCATGCCAATAGCTATTGGTGCACGAAGCCGGACAACGCTGAATAGCAGTAGCAAGTACCAAGTACCTTCGCAGTGTTGTTGTCTGGAGGAGTGCCGGATTGTGCATTCGCCGGAAGAAGCACAGCAGGCATTGGCATGAATAAAATCACATCTCCAAAACCAGAGCGGATTTGATGGTCTGAAAACCGGGTGCCGAGTGGGTTTTCGGATCTAGGTACCGTTGAAGCTTCATGCTTCCATCCGGCACTTCAGAGATTGCTGGAAGGTAATTGTCTGCTGCACAGGTGCCGTTGAGTATGAAATCCATGGAGGCATTGGCAACGTGTCTGGCCCCATATGTTGCTGCTAGACATCCAGACATTATGGACACCAGCCACGATAACTCGGGAGGTTTAGGTGGGCAGCGCTGAGGATCGCAGGCAAATATATCCCCACTACAGAACCAGGCCAGGACGCTGTTGAACAAAATGAACTCCCTGCCAAGAGCCAGTCACGAAAATTTAGAGAACAAGCTCTAGGATCTCTAGAAGCCCAGAAGAAAAGCGTCTGTTGCGTAAACCCTAAACCGTAGTTCCTTGCCTTCAGGTCGCCCCACACGGCCTGGGCACGCGCTGGGTGATGCAGGAGCGGTTGCGCAAGGGGTTTCTTCCCTACCGGGTCGGGAAGGGAATCAAGCAGACTCTTCATAAACCCTAAACCCTAAACCCTAGAGGTTTAGGTTTTTAGGATGCAGGGCTTGTTGGTCCTCAGGATGACCACCGGGCAGAGATCAAGTAACGCTTGAGATCAGGCCCGCCGAAGCAAACTACAAACTACAGTCCTGCTGTCAAAGCCTAGTGGATGAAACAGTTAGATGCAATGCAACGGCTGCGATGCCAGGGATGTGAGATTTTGTTTTTGACGTCCACGGGCTGTTGCCTTTGCATCCCTGTTTGCCGCAGGCCCCTAAAGCTACAAGCCCGAGGTTTAGGGTTGGTGCCTCGGCAGAGTTCTTGGTCCTGCGCTCGGTGGGGGGCTGGCATTCATCAAGTCCAGATGTAAAAGGGAAATCGCAAACCCCAGACCCCAAACAACCTTACAACACGAAGCCCCAAGCCTGATGGAAAATCCGAAGCACTGGTCCGGCGGAGGAACTGATTCGTGGGCGTTTCGAGGCGGAGTTGGGTGGTGGAAGCTTCACAAAGCCAGACCTTCCAAAATTCCCTCAATTAAGGAATGCAGGTCGTATTGTAGCAGGAGCCTCAATATGATTGAAGGTATGTGCCTTAATTCAGGAATATAACGTTTTTTTTAGTAGGATCCTTAACATGATTTAAAGTATCTTCCTAAACTTATAAGGGGTTTTGGAAGGCCTTGGTTAAGCTTCCATGCGTCGTAGTGTAGCTCCTGTAGGCTCCATTGTAGTTCCCTATTTTGGTTTCACAGCGGTTTAGGGTTTAGGGTTTAGGTTATAATCAGGATCCTGTAATAGTAAGGTGACCCAAAACAAGAACTACGATGATGGAGACTCAGGTAGTAGTCGTCGTCGTGGTTGTCCTAGAACTGTAGTACTACTGCTAGCAGCAAACAGAACAGTAGTCGCACAGTAAAGGTACAGCCGCAGTACAGTAGTAGTGCATCGGCGCAGGATCGTGTGATAGCAGTCATTTACCCGAGGCTAACATGCAATGGAAATCGTAAGAACGGTTGCTGGTAGATAAGTACAGTCACCGAAATGTACATTGTCAAAACGTTGAAGCAGTAGATGCATCCGAACCTCTACTTGAGAGGTGTCCACCACGGTACTGGTGGACTCTGGTCAGATCCTGGATGAGATCAGCAGCTGAGCCTGGGTTCGCACGGTATGTTTGAAATTAGGGCTTAGGGTCTAGGGTTTAGGGTTTAATAATTCCGTACGATGCCACTAATCTACTCATGCCAAGGCTACGAATACGACTCTGATACCTACGTTTGGCCGCGCTGCCGCCGTGTGAGCAAACATCTGCACTCTGTGCCGGAGGACACGATTTACGGTCTCGTCTTGGGTTCGAATGGATCCAAGAGAACTGGTTCATGTGGAAAATTGCACATATTCGGGTCGTGACTCCTGAGCCACAGCCACAAATGTTAAGGTCGTGGGGTGGGGGACCCCACGCGTAGGGTTCTCGCGTAACCCCTTTGCAGCCAAAGCATACCGTAAGCGGCGCCTGAACTCCAAAGCGTCAGTGGAGCAGAGTGAAGACCAATGATAAGCAGATGAGGGTTTAATTAGGGTTTAGGGTTTAAGGTTTAGGGTATGAAGCATGAGACGGGTGAGGCTGTTGAGTCTGTTCCGCTCGTCTCATAGGCTGCTCTACATGAGAACTCCAGAGCATCCATGCAACTGTGAATCTTGGAGAGATAGGAGCACATGCTCGTTTTCCAAGAGTTTCTGCGGCAGTACCGCGGCATCTGCAATTTCAACTACAAGGACCCGCTCTGCCAATGAGATTACGAGGGCTATGGGGTTTGAGAGGGTCTGACTGGATAAAATTGCCATGTGTAGTTTCTGTACGGACAATGTGATATCTTAGCTCAAAGCCACAGCCCTCTTGCAGTTGTTGTGGCTTCTGGATTAGGGTTTAGGGTTTCTGGAGGCCTTTCCTCATACTGTTTCCGGTCGAAACATGTGGATTAGCTTTTTCAAGCGGATGTTCGAGCTCTACGACTCCCTTCCGGGGTGCATCGGGATGTCCCAAGCCTTCAGCAACAACTGGAATGAGGTGTCGGGGGGATTGCTGAGCTTATATCGTGATAGCGACCCCGAATCGCAAGCAGAGGAACTTAACTAATCATCCGTTCTTTCGGACTCATCTCAAATTCGACCGCTTGAATTCGAAGGCCCCAGGCTACTGAGCCGAAGGTCCAAAAACAAACCATAAGTCCTAAACCCCAAAACCTTTAAAGAATAAAACCTGAAACCCTAAGCCCAAAAGCCTCCGCGCCGCAACCGCTCATCCTACATCCTAAACCGAATCAGGTCCTACCTACAGTCTCCATTGCAGTTTCATTGTTGTTTCGTTACTTCGTCAGATCCCAACCGTAATCAGTTTAACGGAAAAGGAGCTACGATGGAGACCATGGCTAATCCATGGTAATCCCGAGAAGCCACATTTGGCAACCCTTCACAACCCAAACCTCGAACCCGTAGAAATTGGTTTTCTGGTTGGATGGGCAGGGCTCACGTATTTGGGCCCTAAGCCCTAAACCCTAAACCCTAAACCGCTGGACGGGTGGGAAAAAAACCCTTAAACCCTTAAGCCCTAAACCCTTAGAGCCTAAACCCTGGCTTGTCTCAGGCATCCAACCACGGTCAGAAATCTGAAAATCAGTCTGCGGAGTCCTGACCTTCATTGTCATGAGCTCGATGAACTCTATCAGTTATATGGCAAATTCTTTAAACCAGGGTCCCTTTTTGGGTCCTTTTTAAAAGTGCGCCGTACTATAATTCAGGACCTAAAAAAGGGCCCTACTTTAGAGAACTACCCATATTCTATTTAATAGAGTTCGTAGAGCTTAATACTCTATAACCCCGAAGCCGGCAATCTCAAACCTGAAACCCCACGCTCCGAACGCCAACAAAGACAATGCACCACCAAGGTCTATGAGGCTCCAGACCCTAAGCCCTAAAACCCTGCAATACCCCAAATAGTTTTAAAGACTCATTCAAAGACCCCACTCCAATGATCAAGATCCCCGAACTGGTACTTGGGGAAGCCGCCCCCCTGCAACGGGCGGCAGGTCCGTGAGTCGGGTCAGCTGAGCATCTTTGAGCTGAACACCCGAATAGGACAGCCGCACCTGGTTTAGAGCACAGGCTAGGGGCGATCTTAGGGTTAAGCTAACGTGTAGGGCTTGCAAGAAAAGGGGTCGTCAGGATAAATTACTGGTTATAACACGAGCTGCGCTTCTAGGGTGGGCTTTGAAGATAAGTAGGGCTGCGACATGGCTTTGTGGGGGACCTTGCAGGTAGCATGGGAAAGTGCTTGCTGGTCTCTATATATATATATATACATATATATATATATATGAATGGTCCTAGACCCTCCATCTACCCTCTGTTAGACCCGAAACACCCTTAATTTGGGACCATATACATCTATTCGAGGGCACTTGGAGGGTCCTGGGTCTGTGTTTGTTTGCCTGGCTCCCTGTCGTTTTTTGGAATCTGCGGTTTGGCAGTTGTCTCAGTGCTGTTGCTTACCGACTGCTCCCATGAAGTGGTTCGACTGAGTCCAGTTGTGGTCGTCGTAGCAGTAGCGGAAGCGGTAGCGGTAGCAGTAAGAGTAGCAGCAGCAGTAGC